ATCAGTAATATATCAGAGAATAAAAGAGATAAATGCATTATTTTTTCGACTTTCAGATACAGTTCTACGAGCCAAAGTTGTCTGCAAAATGTTACCAAAATCCGTGACATAGCCCATTTACTGCGCCTAGACCTTAAGTTTACACATGATATACATGAATATAGTTTATAGATTCAAACAAACATGCTATTTTGGTATTTATTTAACCTTCTATAATTGAGAGTTTCATAGCTATAGTATATTGTTTAATTTCAACTGGACACCCGTTTGTTAAACATGTCTTAAGGCTGATATGTAGAACTTTTCATGATACACAAAAGAGCTCTATAACTTATGAAAATATATTCATTTCGCTTTCAAAATAAAACAAAGTTTATTATACAGATATATTTATTGTATACATACCAGTATACTTCACTTAGAATTACATTTGAGCGCAAGAAAATCTCTATGTGAATCGGCTGAATCCCGGGGTCGAAGTTCAACATATCAACGGAAATTTTTGCGTGTGCTTGCGTTGCTTTAGATCAAGGCCACAGCTTTTCAACCAATCGGGGAATGTTTACTTGGGGCATACATCTATTTTTACTGCAGGTTTCGACATGTTTAAATCGGGATTATAGAAAAATGGAATGTTGTTGGTAGATACAAAACAGAAAATGATGAACACTTTTAGCAAAAGATAAATTGGATCGGGGGTCTGTGAATTCACATTATTTGTACAACTCTCCTTACTCTTGGGAAGCGTGTGCTTCACATCGAGGCTTGCTTTGCTTTACATCGAGGCTTGCTTTGCTTTACATCGAGGCTTGCGTTGCTTTACATTGACGCCATAGTAGTTCAACCAATCGGGGAATGTTTATTTGGGGCATACATCTATTTTTACTGCAGGTTTTGGCATATTTTAATCGAAATTAGAGAAAAATGGAATGATGTTAGGAGATATAAAACAGAAAATGATAAATATTTTTAGCAAAAGATGAATTGGATCGGGGTTCTGTGTATTCACATTATTTGTACAACTCTCCTTACTGATGGCAAAAAATGGAATTTCCGTGACCTAAATGGTTCGCGAAAATTAATATTTTTATATATATATAGTAAAAACTGCTGACGTCAACTATTGCTATATACACATTGATATTAGTATGCCTTATAACTAAATATTATATTGTATAGACTAATGAATCATAAGGTCAAAAGTACATGAATATTTAGAATTTGGTTGATCTTACGCTGGTATTAAGTTACATTTCTAAACAAACATATGAACGTCTTAGGACACATTCATGAAACTGTCCCCAGGTTTTCAATAGTATCCTTAAACATGCCCCGAGGTACATAGTATGGCCATGGAAGTACTTGTTTGATACGACAGACTTTAGGTAAATAAAATGTCTTAGACTTTAAGCCAACGATGTACTACGATAATCTTACTAGGGATGGTCATAAGATTGCCTTAAGTTGTATTCGTCTTTTTTTAAGACTGGTAAATGTATTCCCTTTTTTTTATTCGAGCGTCACTGATGAGTCTTTTGTAGACCAAACGCGTGTCTGGCTTACAAAATTTTGATCCTGGTATCTATGATGAGTTTATTTCCACATTGGACAGATACTTTGTGTTTACTTTAATGATAATAGTATACCTTTAGGCATTTCCACCTGTTTAAGGCAACTGTGAAATCATTTGTCAGATATGTACTTACTAGTCATACATTTTCAGAAAATCTGTCATAGATTTGAAAACTAGAAATCCGACATAGATTAGGATTCTAAAAATTCTGCCATAGATTTGGGATGGCATGACGTCATATTTACCATATATTAGGAATCTGCCATAGATCTGGAATCCACCATAGATTTGAGTCCTACATATATATTCATAAATAAATGATACAATATTTGAAGTCTTTATAGTTTAAACATATTCTATTGCGAAATATACACAAAGAATCGGACACAAGATGATCCAACTCACAAAGGTCCACTTCAATTTTTACACAAAAGTCTTTGTACACCAGGTTATTTTTATAAGATATAGAACCTCTTTGTCTGGTTTAAAACTTTGTTTGTCGGACATGTGCATGTTTGCACTGTCATGTCACTTTTATTCTGTCATGTCCACTGAGCTCTTGTCATGCTTAATAATATCAACTTTAATACATGTACCTAAATAAACCATTGTAAAGATGAGTTCAGTCAAAATGGACATTGTTTAAATCAACGCCATTTGGTATCTGGTTGATAGTTGTTTCGTTGACAATCATACCACATTTTCTTATTTTTATGTTTTCCGCCTAAAACGGCAATTTTAGGGAGTATATTTTAAAACAAGCAATGTATATATTTGTTTATAAGTTGCTGGGAATTAAAGTCATTTTCATCAGTACAATATCGATCTTAAAGACATGAAACGGCTTGTGTAGAAAAATACATGTGTTATCGGTATAATTGTAAAGTGTATGGTTAAACTCATACCAATCTTTAAGACATGCTTTTCTATGTTCTGTATTTGTAATATATCCTAAATTAAGACACTTTTTTAAAAATTGTATCTTAAGACCGTCCTAGAGTATATCTTAGTAAAAAAATACTTTCGAAAACCTTGGCCCTGTAAGTTTTGTAACCACTTTAACATTTCGATTTGAAAAAGAATCCTCATGCCGCTATCTTTATACCCGGAAATAAAAAGGAAGTCCTATAACAAATTGGTCGAATTTATCCGTTTTTAAACAATTTGAAAACTGCAAAAATATATACTCTCCAATTTTGGCGAAACGATGTTTTTAAGTTTCTTTACTACGCCCCAGGTTACTTTTTTCGTATGACATGATCAGACAAAGTATTTCTGTCTCATCAAGCATAACTTAGCTGACAAAATTGAGAAATATTCTATAAACATTTAGTTTCATACAAATAAATTCGTTAATTTACTTTTCGGGTTTAAATCGATATCAAAACATTTTTCTTCGCCATCTATTGTTATAAATCCCATAAATTTAAATGGTATCAGAAAGAACACCAAACGTAGAGGTGAATATATATGTCTAAGCCACATATATTTAAATTTTATTTTTTTCAGTAAAACCTTAGATAGAAAATAAACTGAATAAATGCCATACATATATGTTCCTTCTTGTATTTCAAGGATTCAAAATGTTAGAATGCTTGTAGGGACAAAATACAAAACACACTATTATTGCAAATTCTTCACCTGTATATAAATGTGTTACAGTGCATAATGGGATACTCAACTTATCATAAGTCACTAAGCAAGGGCCGTACGTTCCATGGAGTTTAAATAGTCAGGAATCTAGAACAAAAATTGTTACCAATACGTTACAGTCACAGTCTACAGAAAAGTCCATTTTGGGGACATCCACTTTCAACAAATTATACACTGGTTCCCATGACCCTTGATAGCCCTGGATAGCAATATTATTTGCCAACGGTCTTCACAAAAATTAAAAAGAAATAAGTTTCATATCAAGGAAACAAACTTTTTCCAAAAAATACTATCTCAAGTAACAGTGACTTAGAACTTTGACCTATCGACTCCAATATCTATCGGTGTCATCCCATTCCGCACATCTCCCATCTGTAGAAATTTAATCAAAGCACGCAAGGGAAACTAAAGTCACTAAAATACTAATTTTCCCCCAGATTTTCTATTTTAGTAACAGTGACCTTGAACTTTGACCAATTGAGTCCAAAATATAAAAAAAGTCTACACCTCTCCTATATCTTCCATCTGTATTAATTTCATTCTAATGAGGCAACGAAACCTTAAGTTACTATCAAGTAACCATCCCCATAGATAAATTTAAAACAAATTTGTGTCAGCGACCTTCAACTTTGACTTATTAACTCCGAATTTGATAGGTGTTTTCCCCTACCCTATATCTCCCATCTAAATAAGTTTTATTTTATTTATTAATCAGGCAAGGGAATCGCAAGTTACTATCCGGAAACCATTTTTCCATAATAATTCTCATTTTAGTTACCTTGAACTTTGACCTATAATTGTTATTCCAACCAAGCCAGTGAATACCAAGAAATCATCCGGGAACCATTTGTTTCGGGCACACAGAGGGACGAACAGAGGGACGCAGTATTTGCTATATGCTCCCTATTTTTTCAGGGAGCGTAGAAAGGAAAGGTCTGATACTTTAAAATGACCTTTGGTCTGGCTATGGTCACCGATGGTTTTTTTTCATTGGAGAGAATTTAGGCAAACTTGATAAACTTGATAAGAAAGAGATGCATGCCATGGCGCAGGTTTTTTTTTCTCCACACACTGTGTTGCATTTATATCACGAGATTTGAACATCGGTAAAGTTTTGTTGTCTCTAATTCTTATAAAATATGACTGGATGTTGAAAATGAGGATTCATTCGAATAAAAGCGCCTCGGACGAATACATTGTGTATGTTCATCTTATATTCCAGTCCGGGCTTTGTTGCGATAACCTTGTGTTCTTTTTTGTTCATCAATAATGCAAGCAAACTCGCTAATAAAAAGATGTTGCATATAGTATTCTGCTACATAGCTCAGGAAACCTGAAGGGTAAAAAAATGTATTCGAAACATCATGAACCATAAAGCAAAGACGAAAATTAATCAAATAAATATGAAGAATGACCATTGCCCCGTGTAGTGTTCCCTAACTATGAAATTCCCTCGCCGGGATTAACATGTTATATTTAATTGTGCAATTAGACTGTCCAAGACAATAAAAATAAGAACTTTATTGCAATAAATATATTGTCACGAGTTGATACAAACTGATTGTAACGAACCATCGTAATTGATCAAGTGAAAAAAAAAGAAGTAAATCATGAACAGAAATCGTGATTTTGGTCAGTCATTTTCTTTTGTTGTTGTATATTCTTATACAAATTTTGTTTAATCGTCCTACTTATTCCGTCTCAATTCTTAAACCAACAATATATACGCATGGGGTGTCATTGGTCACGATTGAAATAATTGACCAGGTATAAAAACCTTAAACCCGTCCAGCTACAATCAAGAACACCGGTCAAACATAATGAAGTGGACGTTAATTTTAGTGGCGCTGTGCGCCTGTGTGTTATTGACTGACGCTCGAAGCAGGGCAAGTATTCGTTTTTATTTTGTCTTTTCTTTTATTACGGCTTTTGATTTTCTGTTTGCTTATTGTACATATAAAAAAAAACACTGTACTTGTCTCTTGTTGCTCATCCATAATGCAAACAAACTCGCGAGTTAAAAATCGTTGCGTATAGTAAAATTTATTATTATTATCTAGTGTTCTTTAATTGTAACATGTAAAAGGGTTAAGGTTAGAAAAAAATATACTTCTATGATTATTATTTGTGTTTTCTAATCCGTTTCATGTGGACTAGAATTATCCAGAAATGAATTTTACTTAAAATCTATGGTCATTTCAATTAGGGATACAATTTAAAAGTATGTGTAACAGCAACCAAATTCTCTTAACGCATTTAATTGGTGCTTTAAACAAAATACTTGTCCATTAGAAGAAGGTCTTAATCGCCACAATTTGACCATTTAAATTTTTGTTTTAAATTAAAAAGTTTATGAAATAAAACAAAATAACATCTCTCGGGTTTTTACAAAACATTGTCAGATATCAGTTGTTATATTTTGTCTTTTGTCGCAGATATTTAATTTATATGTATTTTCACACTTCTTGGATGTGAAAAAAATCGGAAAGACTACCAAAATATTTCTTCTCATTTTCATTTTGGTGTGAGCAACTGCCTTGTCCAAAAATATGTAACTACAATATATCTTAAATAGGTATACCGACGAGACCTACCAGCTGTAAAAGACCCCGACATGAAAATTCACAATAAAATTATCATAATTTTGAAAAGATTAATAATTCTTCTGCTTTTTGCACGTTCAGTGGCAAGATAGTGTTTTTTCTCTGTTCCTCTTTAGCTAAAAAGTTGACAAAGGCAACAACTTGTTAATCCGGAAAATGACAAAAAAAACTTTATTATATTAGGTGTGCTATTGCTAAAATCTATCAAAACTTTGACAATGAAAGTTTTTTTGTTAAATAATTTATTTATAATTAAATACTTTATCAAAAGAAAATGCAAATTCCAATATCATAACTTAAAAAACGCGTACTCTCAAAACTATTTTATTTTTATTTCATTTTATATATTTTGTACGCTGTTCTTTTGCTGAAAACATAATTTTCACAAAAAATCTAAACTGAGGACGAGATTGGCTTTATGGCACACACAAAAAACCGACACACTAGTGAACATGAACATTCATTAGAGTGTAACCGATTTTTGTATGCCAAGGGGAGCAACTCCAACCATCGATAACATTTAATCACTTTCTTCTTCTTCCAGGTAAGGAACCGAATTCAATATCTGAATGTATGAGGTCCCGCGAAAACTATACACAGTGTCGGACAACACAGAAAGTTTTCTTTTGGCTATTTACAAGTTAAAACGTTCTCTATATATATAATTAAAATTATGTACAGGATGTTACTGTCTAAATTTTAGCAGAGCATGCCTTCAGGGCAGCTCTGAATCCTTCAACTGTGTCAGCTGATGTCGCTGATGTTGGCAGTTGGTTCCAGTCTCTGATTGTCCTTGGAAAAAATGATTGGCCGAAGGCGTCTTTTGTAGCCCTTTCTTGGTAGAAGCGGTTTTTAAACTTTGTTTGTACTATCAAACTTCATATGGGGCCTTTCGTGAAATAAGAAGTTTCAAAGTTTCAAAGTTTCACAAATTGTTAATATACTAATAATGAAGTTTAGTGTCCTCGCCCAAAACTTCACAGTGACGGTTCATACATGTAATACAACACAATTTCTGAAGTGTTCCCTAATTGAAATTTATTGCAGAGATAGCAAAGACCGATGAGTTTGGAGACGAGCATACTTTTAAATAAAACTTGCAAAATAAGGGGGGATTATGGCCTATTTTCAGCATGATTTTACTTCTTTAAGTTGCTCTTGACCTAGTACCAGAACGTCCTACCACAGAGTAGGTAATCTGTCGATACAGGCACCCTAAATTCGGCAGAAAAGAGGCTACAGTTATTTTATCTGTTCTCTGATATTTTCTAGTACATTGTATGTAAATGTATAGATAGGTTTCAGGGTTTTGATTTTATAATTGTTTATTTTAGAACTTTGACGAGGAAAGGGAACTCGACAGGATTTTGAAAGAACTAGAACGTATGTATCAATAGTGCTGTGGAAAATAAATAAACAAATTTAAAAAAAAAAATAATTCCTTCTTCAAATAAAGTTTGTATGTTGTAGTGTACTAATTGTTGAATAGTATAACAAGAGTAGTGTGAGCTATTTTCCCGTTATGTAGCGCCATCGCACTTCGTTGGAAAAAATGTACATTTATTCACATAAGATTCTCAGTCTGGACTATACTTTGCCATGTCAATTTGAACTGTTTTTTTTTGTGTCTCCTTTTATGTTATTTCATCTGGTATAATGCATTGCATAGTGAAGGGAACTAACTACACGGTCACATTATAACGAAATAATCTGTATAGTTCATCGTACAGTTAATCAATTAATTGCATATTATGTAAAGGTAAAAAACTTAATTGCGCCGGGGTTTTGCTCTCATTTTACCTGCCCTTCAGCCGGCTCTAACTACAAGCTCGACCGCATACAAAAAACAATTGACAAGATACGCAAGATGATATATTCACTTTTTATTACACTGTTTCCTTATTGACAAAAATTTGCCCCTTCCCTTCGTGAAGTACAGGAAGATTTTCAGGTAAACTGTCAAATTTCTACCAGATCGTGACGGATGGGAAAATGTTCACTGGGACGTATAACTGTGGTACTTGCAATGTCAGTGCTAAATAATAATTGTACATTTTTTAGGAAACCAATTTTTTTTTTTAATGAAAATGGAGTATCTCATGCCATAGAGAAAATGAAAACTTAAACTTTAAATTTAACTATTATTGACAGTATTTGTCAGGAAGCTATCCATCAAAATTATCATCACATCTTCTTGTGTATAATGATATATATTTGGTCATTTAATATTTTTGAATATATACACTTTAAAATGAATTGTTGACAACGTTTTTTTTATCTTTCTGTGAATGTTTTTTTTTATCATAAATGCTGACATTCCTAATTCACTTATCATTGGTTTATTCAGAAATACATAAATCATATTAAATCTATTCAATTAATACAGGTGAAACGGACATAATTAATCGTGGGGGAAAAGGTCCACGTCCAACAGGCGATGAAGGGCTTCGTCCAACACCTCCAGTTGAAAAGAGGGGAAATGGCAAACATGGCAAAGGAAACAAACGACCAAAGGGTCCACGTCCAACAGGAGAACGCCCAGATCGTCCACGTCCAACAGGAGAACGCCCAGATCGTCCACGTCCAACAGGAGAACGCCCAGATCGCCCACGTCCAACAGGAGAACGCCCAGAGGGTCCTCGCCCAACACCTCTAGTTGAAAGGAGGGGAAAAGGAAACACTGGCGGTAATAGAAAAGAGAAAAATGGCGAAGGAAACAAACGACCAAAGGGTCCACGTCCAACAGGAGAACGCCCAGAGGGTCAACGACCAACAGGAGAACGCCCAGAGGGTCCTCGACCAACAGGAGAACGCCCAGAGGGTCCTCGCCCAACACCTCTAGTTGAAAGGAGGGGAAAAGGAAACACTGGCGGTGATAGAAAAGAGAAAAATGGCGAAGGAAACAAACGACCAAAGGGTCCACGTCCAACAGGAGAGCGCCCAGATCGTCCACGTCCAACAGGAGAACGCCCAGAGGGTCCTCGACCAACAGGAGAACGCACAGAGGGTCCACGTCCAACACCTCTATTTGAAAGGAGGGGAAAAGGCAAAACTGGCGGTGATAGAAAAGAGAAAAATGGCAAAGGAAACAAACGACCAAAGGGTCCACGTCCAACAGGAGAGCGCCCAGATCGTCCACGTCCAACAGGAGAACGCCCAGATCGTCCACGTCCAACAGGAGAGCGCCCAGATCGTCCACGTCCAACAGGACCACGTCCACAAGGACCACGACCAACAGGACCACGTCCACAAGGACCACGTCCAACACCAAACGAAGGACCTGGACCAAATCAACAACTCGCAAACGAAGAATCGATGCTCTTGGACATGATTCAAATGTTAAACAAAAGAAGGAGCTAATCTTTTCAAATGTTCATAAAAAAATAACTACAAACTGATGAAACTGTTAACAATTGTTGTCTGATGAAAGATTTATAAAAATGTAAACAAAAATTAGCAGATTTTAATTGTCAAAATCTGTTTGTTAACAATAAACTTGCAATCAATTTTGTGTTAAAAATAAGTTTGCATATCAATATTATTATCTTATAGAGGTGTCGTTTTCACCTCGTACAGAACTGGTTACACTATACGATTCAGTAAGTCGTACAGACAAATGAACTTGTAAATGGTTATACAAGTATTTTGGCCTGCCATTCGGCCTTCAAGCATATGTAATAGTCAAGATTTTTGCGTTAGCCTATTATACACATCATACCTATGCATCTCCTGTTTCGCGTGATCAACCACATATAGGGGAACGGCAACCCAACAACAACAACAAAAAAAAACATCTAAAAGTCAAAATGTGGTCAACAACAATTGACATGTAAGTGCCTTTACAATATATCAAGCTCTAAATCCCCACCAGTCTTGCATATGAAAAGACAATAAATGGAGAATGTGTCCCCATGGACACAGATGATGACCCCGCTTGCATACAACATTATAAAGGGACATAAATCAAGAACAATAAAAGGGACGCTACCAAAATTTGTACTTGATCTGAGTTTTGTGGTAATAAGTATTGTGTAAAGGTTTCATAATGTTTGGTTGGGGCAAACTTAAGTTACAGAACGGAAACTAAAAATTTTGCAATTTTTCGATTTATAAAGGGGCATAACTCGATAATGATTAAAGTGACGCCACCAAAATTCAACTTGATCTGTGTTTTGTGGTAATAAGCATTGTGTATAAGTTTCATAACATTTGGTTGAGGCAAACTTAAGTTAGAGAACGGAAACTAAAAATTTTGCAATTTTTCCATTTATAAAGGGGCATAACTCTAGAACGGTTAAAGTGACGCCACCAAAATTCAAACTTGATCTGTGTTTTGTGGTAATGAGCATTGTATATAAGTTTCATAACATTTTGTTGAGGCAAACTTAAGTTAGAGAACGGAAACTAACAATTTTGTAATTTTTCCATTGATAAAGGGGCATAACTCTAGAACAGTTAGAGTGACGCTACCAAAATTCAAACTTGATCTGTATTTTGTGGTAATAAGCATTGTGTATAAGTTTCATAACATTTGGTTGAGGCAAACTCAAGTTAGAGAACGGAAACCAATTTTGGGACGTACGAACGTACAGAGGAACAAGGGTAAAACTTAATGCCCCCTCTGCTACGACGGGGGCATAAAAACAGCTTACACAGATGAGGTCCCAGCCATATAAACATTTAGTGGGTTAACTACTTTTTAATTTTTTAGTGGCTATTGAATGACTATGTTTGAGGCGACCGCCAAACATATGGAAATAAAACAAAACAGCGCCCAGTTGATCCGCGCCAAACAGGACAACATCCACACGAACCACGTCTGAAAGGACCAATCTTAGAGGATCCATGTCCTACAGGACATTTTGCACAAAAATAACTCGGCTTATACGGACATTCGGGCGATATTAGTAGTACAGACGTTTATAAATTTGGGTCAGGTTATTTTTTTATATAAGGAAAAATTCCATCAGTACCCACGTAGGTAAGCAAGACGAAGACACAGTTATATATGTATGAACATGTCGTTCCTAGATTTTTCCCGTTTCAGAATCTAAAAACTGCGGGGAGAGGGGGACGATTGACTCAGGAGTAAAAACTCTACAACCCCCTATTTTTTTTTAAATGATCTGTCCCTAATCGGGGAGGCGACATAAAAGTGTTATCAAGACAGCAACTAAACAACACCACAAGGCAAAATTGACTATTTAGATATGGTTGATTTTTCCTGTACATATTTTTTTGGAACAAAGTAAATAGGCTGTATATTATTGGATTCAGGGTAATCGCTACGCTAAGTCTTCCCTTTTAAAAATGATTCATAACCCGATTTGGGAATTCATCGATCTATAGATAAATCAAAATTTGAGTCAAATGTGCTCGTTTTTAGAAACAAATAATTTAAACTTCACATGTATCGGTATTTCAGATGTTGAATCACTGCATTGCGTTGCGTCCGTATGACTTGTTGTCCTGTTTTAGTCTTCGGTCGTATTATTCTTCCCTGTAATGAATAAGATAATAAAAGATTACCGATGAACACGTCGTCAACATTTCTTTTTTTTCTGATTGGCGTAATAATGCTACGTAATTTCATTATGTTTTGTGTTTTTGACTCTATATAAGCAAAAAAGTCCCTATGATGTATAACATCTGTACGACCAATATACGCCGAACGTCCATATTGGACGAGTTGCTTTTGTTCTAGTCGAGTCAAGTTAATTTCTCGTCAATCAAGTTGCTATTAACTAATTGACTAAGAAATTGGTCGTATGGTATGTGCATTTGTCTTCGGCTTTCTACCAATACACTCGCGACAAGCATTGGGTCAATGACTTATGGAAAAATAAGGAGATGTGGTATGATTACCAATGAGATAATGTCCACCAGAGTCCAAATGGCATTGATTGGAAATCATCCAAACGAGAAAACCAACGACCTAACTCATGACAAAACATAAAACAAAAAAAAACAAATATGACAGACATTAATTACAAGCTCCTGGATGGAAAAGGCACATAAAGAATATGGCGGTGTTAAACAAGTTTGAGAGCGCTCAACCCTCCTCCTAACCTGCACTATGGTATGACAGTACTTCATAAGAAACAAAGTTTTTTAAGAATAAAAAATCAGTAAGAAATGACTTGCCTCATCAGATGTATAGCACGAAGCACACACGCAATAAATATAAAGACAAAAGATGCAAAGTATCGATCTAAGGGTACTCTCAGCCAAGCCTATATATACAAAGATACAACCATAGAAAAATTAAAAAGTATGATTCCCTTTGTTGGGATTTAATCATAAAAAATTAAACACAGAAAAATGCGCGCTTCTACCTTAAAAATAAGATGTGGTATGATTGCCAATGAGACAACAATCCACCAAAGTTAAAATGAAGTGGATGTAAGAAATTATAGGCAACCGTTCGGCCTTCAACAATGAGAAAATCCCATACCGTATAGTCGACTATAAAAGGCCCCGACATGAAAAATATGAAACAATTCAATTGAGAAAACTAACGGCCTAATTTATAACAAAACAATTTACGAAAAACAAATATGATAGACATGAACCAACGACAACCACTGAACTACAGGCTCCTGACTTGGGACAGGCACATAAAGTATGTGGCGGGGTTAAACATATTTGAGAGCGTCCAACCCTCCCCCTAACCTGGGACAGTGGTGTTACAGCACAACATAAGAACAAACTATAAAAAAACAGTTGAAAAAGGCTTAACTCATCAGATCGATACAAAGAAAAACATTAAACAAAAACACAGACAGGACGTGGCAGGGTATATATCTATCCCTCATACCTAACAACAAATTAGACACAGATCTGAGAGTACTACTCGCAGTTACTGACAGGTAGTTCAGAGGGTGTCTTCCCGATTGTCCCACTTTTTAAAATTACAGGTAAAAAAGTCATGAAATTTTGTGGGACAATCGGGAATATGTTTGTGGGACAATTGGGAAGCTTAAATGTGGGACAATCGGGAATTGTTTTGGTAGTGATTAATTTGTTTGTATAGGGTGTAGAAGGAATAGTTACAGGTAAACAATCAGTGTACAATTGAAGTATCATCAATCATAGAATATAATATTAAGTAAAAAAACATCACATATCAATTTTTCATCCTGTCTTGTGCAAAGTCATTTATTTTCAGTTAATACCAGGCCAAGTTATTCATTTTCAAAATCCTCCACCCCTCCCCCTTTCGAAATCAAATGGTCGTCCCCTTATTGAAAGCTAATGTAAGGACGTCATCAATAGTCTTAGAAAAGTATGATCATAAACATCGTTACCGTAAAAACTAGGATTCTACTATTACAGCATGTTTTACTTACTTACTGTATTTTGTAGAAAGTCTTTGAAAAAAGGATTATACATTCTGTATATGCCTGTCCCAAGTCAGTATCGTGCCGGTATTTGAGTGGTTGTCGTTGGTTCATGTTTGTCATAATTTTTTGGTAAATTGTTAAGTTATTTTGGCTGTTAGTTTTCTCAAATGAATTATATAAAATTTTCCATATCGGGGCATTTTATAGCCGACCATACTGTATGGGCTTTCTCATTGTTGAAGGCCATACGGTTGCCTATAAATGCTTACTTCTACATCTCCTTATTTTTATATTATACAACTAGTACTACATAAAATTAACATTATCAATGTTCCATGTAAATGAGGTAAGGTCAGATTAACTCTGTCACAAAGACATGTACACCCTAATACCATTCCATACACCACGTATTTGACCCACTACTTATAGCATCTGAGATACGGCCTTGGCCATTGAAACTTAACCTTGTTCATAGATCCATAAAATGAGGTCGAGGTCATGTGAACGAAGATGTCTGACGGACATGTAGGCATTGCAAGGATACCATATATTAGACTAGTAGCCAAGTATAGTTATCCTAGAACCTATGATAAACGAGACATTCACATGACGAAAACAAGCTATACAGTTTTTAGCAGTCTTCAAACCATGATCATGAAGTCAAGGACAATGATTATATGACAGACGGGAACTTCGTAACACAATGGATCTATATACAAAATATGAGCCATCCGATTCCTCTACCCCCTGAAATATAAAGCTTTACAAATAGTTAACGGTGTTGCCGTCACCACCATCAGATTGTATTCTGTATGATAAAGAATCTTGTGTAAATGGCATCTGACTTCACTGGTAAAAGTGCAAAGACTAGTGGAAACATCTCTTCATCAACTAGTGCTTTATAGTGTACAGCGTAATTAAGTTTTAAGTTACACTTTTCTTTAAATTGAATGGATTATATCTTAATTCCTTTTAAAAACTTTCGAAAAAAAATTTAAATTAAAATCACAGTATTGATATTTGTTTTATATAAATAAACGTAAGCTTATAAATATAACTCATAAATGTTATATTATTTACTCAAAAGTGCATTAATCTGATGATATACCAAAAAAATCATATCTTATGCTTTTATAAAATTTATATTAAATAAAAGTTTGAAC